ACACAGCAATGGTCCAGCAGCCAGAGGAGCTTTGAGGTGAGCACTTGGAGATAGGTGACAGGGGAAGGTTGGCACCCATATTTCTGGGTCAGAACAAGCTGCTCTTTTAGCATTAGTTCAGGGTATGAAAGGAGGAAAGAAGTTCAGGGGAATTGCCCGTTCAGCCTGGCTGTATTCCCTGAATGCACTGAAATGAGTGCATTGCTTGTAAATGCCTAGAAGAAAACAATTCCATGTGTTTGCTGAGTATGAGCCATGTCCAGCTAATCTGACTTCCCTCAGGTGAGTTAGCCATCTACGGGATGGGGAGAAGCAGCTGATGTTTTGCACCTTGCCCTTACTAGAGCCTGTTACATGGGATTTCTCAGAAGTCAGCTTGAGAAATATAGCCCAGCCCAGTTTCTCAAACCCTGCTTTCCTGCCTCACCCTTTGAGGCTCCTTGATCTCAGTCAGAGAAGAGCTAGCAGTTAATTCCTTTCTTGTGTAAACACTTCCCTCTACACCCCAGCAGCCAGGGGTAGTTTAACCCTTCCAGAGCTGCTCTGAGCTCTCACATTGTGTTACTGCATCTCTTATTTGTGCAAGAATTTGAGCCAGTGTCACTGTGCCATTTTCATGGTGTTTCTGTTAAGTTGAAAGCCTAAAATAAAGGTTTCTTGAGGCTCTGCAAGCCCTTCCTGCAAGAGACCTACAGTCCACAGTGCAAGGAGGAACTGGTTTCTCAGATACTGTAAAATTAATATGAAACTGCCTGGAAAAAGGTTGCCAGGGAACTTGACAGTGCCTCACTGTTCAGCTGAAAGGATTTATCAAGTAAGTTCCTTGTTTTGGCTTGGATAATGGAATCGAGAATGTGCTTATTGAATTTGCAGACAGTACTGAGCTGGGAATGGATTCGAGAGCTTTGAAGACCTGGATTAGAATCAAAACAAACTCAACAGAGGGATGGAATAGCCTGAAAGAAACATGATGCAGTTCAACAAGGAGAAATGCAGAGAACTACACTTGGGTGAGAACTGTCACTTGCAAGAAAATGGAAGGAGAAGGTCGAGGTTGTGTCCTGTAGAAAGATGTGATGAGCAGAAAGAGCCATCTGAGGGTTGAGGTCTTCTACCTCTCACAACAGGAAGCCATGAAGGAAACTTCTAGTGGCACTCATTGCCAGGTTTGAGTGCTCCTGCACTTAGGTTCTTCATTTTGGCCAGCTAAGAATCTTCACCTGCAGTTAGTTTCTTGCTGCTTGTGATGCTCAGTGGTTGCTGCCCAGAGTGCAGCATCACAGCTTGTCTCAAGTCTGAGATGCTGGTGCTCAACAGGCAATTTATGGAGAGGTAGTTCCTTCTCTGGAGATAGTTCTTCAGCTTTTTCCAGGTGGTGGGGATCAAGTTTTCCTTTATCAGGTGCTTGTTAAATGTCCAAGACTTGCAGATGGCTCTTCAGAAAGAATGGCAGCAGAGGGAAGTTGGCAGAATAGCTTCGGGGCTTTCCCTTTGGAATTCTGGGGTAGTATCTCTGTGGTTTTGTTGTGTAACTTCATTGTGGTTTGTCTTCTGTAGTGTCTGTTTACAAGATGAATTAAACTAAATGTGTGTTTTTAAACTCACTCTGTGCATTGATACTTGAGCTTTTAACCGTTCCTTTTGATAGAGCTCACATCCAAAGCGAGCTAGCCGGCGGCATCCACTTCATCTGCTGTAGTGACCATCCAAGGATTTTATGGATTCAGCTCAGAACCCTGCACTCTTTTAAATTAATTTTTGTTAACCTTGTCCCATTTCTGCATGTGGACAAAGCTTCATTTATATGCACAGCAGGGCCTAAGAACCAGACTGGCTTTAGTCAAGATCCTGCTTTATTACGTGATGTTCTTTACGCCTTTGCCTTTTTCTCTCTTCTCCATTATGTCTTTTGTCAGTAACTGGTTTCAATTATCATTTTTTCCCCTTGTCTTTCTGTGCTTGTTTGTTGGCACCCCATGACATTGCCCAGCATGGGGCCATTTCTCTAACAAACCTGGCTTCTGTCCCACTGGACCGTGTTGTTTATTCCCCGCTTTGGTGATGGGTTCTCCTGGAGCTAGGAGACTCCAGCACAGATTGCCCTGACCTGAGGTGTGGAGATGGCAGCTCTTTCTGCAAGTGAGGGCAGTGGTGTCTGCTCTGTTCTTGCCTTCACCTGTGGCAGTCTCAGGCAAGGAATATCATTATCAAGTCATCGTAGCAGCCAGTTTACCATGACCTGATTTTGGAACACTCGCCACTTCGTGCCAGAATACAAGCTCATTGCCTCGAGTTACCTTGGGAGAGCAAACAACACTGAGCTTGTTCCCAACCTCCAATTGTCCCAGCTTCGCTGTTTTGTGCCCTGTGTCCCTGCTGGGGCTCCTGTTCTTCCTTGCATGCCATCCATCAGGGCAGCAGCTTCCTGCATCTGCTGAGAGCTCTATTTATCTCCAAACTCCCAAGCGATGAATCTCATCTCATTATAAAACCCCACCAAACCCAAACAGATGACGTGCTTTCTCCTGCCTCTGGGAATTCTTGCTTGAACATGGGACCCCTTCATTTGGGAAGAGGCCAGGCGGGATGGCAGCTTCCTGGTGATGAATCCTGTGTTTGTAGTGTGCCTGGCTGCTTCACACTGCCCCGGAAGAGGCAGTGGATGTTTGTGGAAGCGATGGCCAAGCGACTGTGAGACCCAGGCTGCTGGAACAGTGGGTGTATTATAGCTGGAAAAGGCAATTTCTCTGCCAAATCTCATTGTGCAAGAGGGGTTATTCTTTAGCCTTGCAAAGATTTCGCTTTGTTGGTTCTTTTTTCACTTTCTTTCTGAGACTTGGGAAAGAGACTGCGGGACTGCAATGGAAAATGAGCGTTCAGCTCATCTGACTTGTGTTACCAGGACAGAGCTCTGCTGCGCTCAGACGTCCAGCCTGCGTGAAAGCAACCAGCTGGCATCCTGCTCCTGTTCAGTGTCTCGGTTTTCCCTCTTTTGCTTATGCTTTGAACACTTTCTGACATATAATTTAGCTTAGTAGTGTAGCAGTGTTGGGAAGCAAACATGGGGCTTGCTTTGGGTGTGATGCTAAAGAAGGTATTTCCTGTGGAAGAAAAGGAACATCTGTGTGGAGAGGAACGTTCTTGTGACAGCAGTGGGTTGAGGGTGCAGAGTTTTCTCAGAACATTACTATGAAGCAATTACCAGAGGTTTGGTACAGGCCACACAGACCCTCTGAAATAAAATACCTTTCCATGTGGAGCTGCTTTTCCCAGCTGCCAGGAACACCTCCCTTCCTGTTCTTGGAAAACAAGGGCCTGGCTAAAAGGCTGAGCTAACCCGGCTGACGTCCTCCAGGAAAAGTTAAGAGGCGTTGTGGTTAAAGTGCTTCAGGATATTGTATCATCAGCTTCTGTAACTCCTTGCCTGGCTGAAGTCGCCTTCCAGCTACAGGAAGAAGCTATCCAGAGGCTGAAGAAACTATCCAGAGGCTGTCTCAGACGTGGCAGGAGAATGTTCCTGGGGGCTGTGGAGCACAGGAGACCTGAAAAGTGTGTAAACCCATCTCCCATTTGTGTTTACTTCCTACTGATATTGGAGAGTGAAGAATTGTAGATGGGGCTGTTGCTTATGGTTTATCAACCACTGCATGGAAGCCAGTGAAGCAGGTGGTACCTTTAGCTGATAGCAGAAGATGACAAAACACTTGAGGATGGGGAGGACAGAAGGCCCCTCCTGTGGTCCAGAGAGCCCTACCAGCACGCTGGCCTGGATGTGTGCTGCCTTTGCTTCTTCATTTTGACCTATTGCAGCAAACTTAGTGTGACATCTCTCTTGAAAGAGCTGTCTGCTGGTCTCGTAGTTCTCCCTTTCCCTTCCCACAGCGTTCCAGCCCCGCTGTTTTCCCTGTGTGCTGGCTCTGGCTCTGTCTTGCCTGCATAGATACATTCCCTCAGGGCTGAAGCTGTTGCTCTGTTGGTGCAGCATTGCCTTGCTGAGGCCCTGGGGCGCTGCTGTAATAAGTGCGATTATGGATGACAGACGAGGGAGGGACTCCTGGGTTCATCTGCCTGGGAGATGGCAGCTTACAGCCCTGTCCAAGCCAGGGAGCTGCAGAGCTCTTCTCTTGCCAAGTGTAAAACTTAGGGCTGGTCATGGCAGGGTTCTCCCTTGAAAGGAAGCAAGGGTCTCATTCCTTCAATCAAAGATATGAAAGTCTTCTTGGGGTCAAATCTTAAATGCATCAGAGGAGTTCTGGAGGCTGCCCTAGATCTGGGCACAGGCAGCTCTGTGATGGACCATCACAGCTTCAGGCACTGTAGTACTGCATGAGCCTGAAATAGATGTTTTTGGGGAGCTGCAAGGTTCTTCCATCCTCCAACACTGCTAGCTTTCTGGTGTGTTTAAGGCTGGTTTCCAGTGTGGGGTGAGGGAAAGGAGATGGATTTCCTACATGGCTTTCCATAGCAGAGCTGGTGCATCACGGTTAAAAACACTGAAGCATGAACTGTCTTTGCTAAAAGTGCTTAAACAGCTAAACAAAACTTAAATAAAATCCTGGTTTGAAATCCAGTCACTTTCTGCGTGTTGCTGTTCTTCACACTGAATTATCACAAATACTATTTCCCACTTCTATAAGACAACTCCAAGAAAACAAAGGTTGCCTTTGGAAAATTGCTGTGTGAGGCCCATGGGGGTGAGGAAGAGTGGTGTGTTCCTGGAAGCCAGCTGCATTATGGCTGACCAAAGGGTGTTGCAGGGCTGCTGTGGGTGTTGGAAAGAGTTTTCCGTGTCCATTATTCATCAGACCCTGCAGGCATGCTTGGATTTGTCTGGCTTGGTAGCACTGGTGCTTCCCATGCTCCGAGGGGCTGGAGGAATCAATGACCCCCGCCTTGGGATGCCCTTTCCTCAGCACCCCTAGGATGTGCAGGCTTGTTCTGAAGTTGTTGTACTCTTGACTCAGGTTTGTGTGTGTAATCCCTACATCTCTGCTGTGCTGCAGGTGGCTGTTGTGGCTCTGATGTCAAGCAGTACGTGTATGGAGGCTGGGCCTGGGCTTGGTGGTGCATTACTGACACCCAAAGGTAAGGAGCCCCTCGTTCTTTGTGGGTTTGGAGTAGGAATTAGGCAAAGCCATCCCAGTGGGGCAGTCAGCAGTGTTTTGAGGAGCATGGGACCTCTCCTCAAACCCAGTTGTTTATTTACATAAACCCTACCAAGCAAAGAGGGCTGCAGCCTGGCTGGAGTGTTCCACCCTGTGCTGGTGCTGAGGAAGGCAGGAGCTCTGCTCTCCTCTGCTGTGCTCCACAGCTCACAGAGGTGCTGGGCCGCAAGGCACTGGGCTGGCTCATCCCTGAGCTCACCAGAGGAGTAACAAACACGTGTGTGCCATGCAGTGGCCAGTGCCCCCTCCTGCTCCTCCAGTCTCTGTTCCTGACGATGTGCTGACTGCTCACCTTGGGAGCAGAGCGTGTTCCTATTTAAAATCATGGCATTTTCTTTCTCTGCCTTTCCTCAGTGGTGGATTTTGCTTGCTGCTTCTTCCTGCACTGGTCTCTGAACTAACACGTGATAGTGCTGCTGTCCTGCTAATACAGCTCTTTGTCTTTAGGATCTGTGGGAATGTTGCTCTCAACACCTCCCCTGTGCTCACTGGTGCAGGTTTGCTCCATCTGTGTAAAAAAAATTAACAGGGAAAAGGATAATGACGGGACTTCTGGGTTTTGCACTGAGTGATGGCCAGAGGTTGGGGTTAACCCCTACTGCCTGATCTTGCCACCTCTTCTCCCTGTTCACGTGTTGCCACCAGCAGACTAAGTGAGCATGTTCTGCCCTCGCTCTGTGGATGATACACTGCTCTAGCTGCTCTTCACCTGGGGGCAGGCAGCTTTGCCTTGTGCAGAGGGATCCTGGCTGCTGCTGGCAATGACTGGTGACAGCTCCCAGGTCCTCTCCTAGATTGCTGGTACTCAGGAGTACTATGAGAGCATGAAGAGGTCTCAGCTAACATCAATGGCTTTAGCCTGGGCTCTCCAGTGATGCTCATATGAGGCAGAAGGGGAAGGAAAGGCCCAGCCTGTGGGCTCAATCCTTAAGAACTCCATTTGATCCAGGCAAGCTTCATTTCCAAACTTTTATGAGGTATCTCATGGGAGAACCATTGATTTAAACAACTGATTCCAGCTCCTCCTCTTGTGTGAGAAGCCCAGAGGACAGTGAGGGACCTTGACCTGCCGTGTGCAGGAGATAACAGATGTATTCAGGAGGCTGACTTATTAAGTTAAGCAAAGGCTCAGTGCAGGGCCAAGAGCTGCTTGCCAGGAGTGAGCTGTCATATGATAGAGGTCTGTGCGTTATTTAGCAAACGGGGCTCTTGGCAGCAATTCCAGCATCCAAACAAATCTTTGACTTTAAAATCTATACCTCTCATTCACACTTTGGGATATGGGGCTTAATTCTCCTTTGGAAAATGGAACCTTTCCCAAATGAGCCGTGCCACAGATGGAGCCTGCTGCATTAACATGAAGAGTGAGGCAGATTTCCTCCCCTGAAATTAGGACATCTTTTCTGGGGCTGCCAGTGCTGAAAGCAAGAGAGGCAGCAGCAATTGTGTTCCTGTCAGCGGCATCCTGCCAGGTAGCACTAACCTGGGAACAAAAGGAACAGTTAGAGCTGGCAGGGTGCTGGGCTCTTATCCTGCTGCAGCCTTGAGGACTGGGGAAAAAAAGGAAAGGAAAAGTCCTGTCCTTGTTTAGGGGTCAGAAACAAAAGCAGAGAGAGAGGCAGCGTGGTCTTGCATGCCTCTGGGGGAGCCAAGTGGTGTTATTCAGCTTCTCAGGACAGCGCTTGGAAGCACCTTCTCTCTTCAGTGCCTGAACCAGGGGTGGGGAGCCAGGTCCCTGGCATTTAAAATTTTTCTGTCCCCTCTTAAATGTTGGTATAGAAGCATCTGAATCATTACAGAAAGGAATTTTCTGTGTGAAGATTGCTCCAACAAAGACTGACTCCAGGATGTCGTTCCAGGTGGGATACATGGTTCAGTTTCATCCTCAGTGCCTTGTGGCACACAGGGTTGAGATGAGCGTGTTCATCCTCATCAAAAGAAGCTGTGATGAGAGGAGCTGGTCTGGCCCAGCATTGTGGAGCCCTGGGAGCAGTAGGTGGGAGAAAGGCAAACTGACCAGGGACAAGCTGAAACCTAAAAGTCTCGTCTTGTCCTTTGCAATGAGTGTCTTACTTCTCTGATAACTGCTTTATATATTTGCTGTCCTACCCTTATTCCTCGCTGCTCAGACTGTCTTTGGAGGTTATGACCATCCTCTGTCGCTGTGAGAATATTGAGACGTCGGAGGGGGTCCCACTGTACGTAACAGGGGTTGCACAGGTAATAATCCACCAGCTTCCTAACACTGTGTCTGACTCTATCCCTCTGTTCTGAGCAGCAGCAACAGCAGCAGCAGCAGCAGGATAACATAGAAACTAATGGTTTTCTAACGGGACAGTTGAAATCTCAATACCCTCCTCTCCTTCCCCTCCTCTGGCACTTGCCCTGGGGTGCACTCCGCAGTTTATAGGTAATGTAGACAGATGCACACTTGGCAAATCCCAAATCCAGCATTACTGTACTGGCTCCTTCTGATAATGCTGCAGACCTTCGCCTAAGCTGTAACCCTTTACTTGACAGCACTGTTTCCACTGTGTGCTTGGTGGAGAGCAGAAGGTCACTGCTTTTGTGTGGAGCCACAGGCAGGCCAGATTGGGTTCTGTACAGAATTTGGGGCAGGTTTTGTGCCGTTTCAAAAGGAAACCTGTACATGTGTGGGAGAATGGCAGCTGTACTTTCGGATATGGGTTTCCACTCAGCCCTTCTCCCTCTGCATGGAGACAGTGCCTGTTTTGGATGTTGTCATGTTTGGAAGTACAGCGTAAAGACCTTGGATGAGTTGCAACACAAAGGACTGGCATTTGCACTGGGAGCAGTTAGGAACAGTAATTACCAAGCATCCCTGTGACTTGCCAGCTAAGAAGCAGCACAGTAAATTAAATTAAAAGTCTTCAGAAGGTTAAAATCCTGCACTAGCTGATTAAAGCCGTGAATGCAGAAAATGCCTTTGTGCATCCTGGACAGTGGGATCTGCTTTATCAGCTCCCAGCTTGTGTGCCAGTTTCATTAGGACAGTGGCCAAGGCAGGCATGAACTTGCAGAGATACATTTCAGCACTTGCAGCCAATCCTGCAGCGACTCAGTGTGCACACAGCAGCCCAGTGCAGCCCCTTCGTGGTTCAGATGTTTGACCTAATGTTCCCTGACGCAAGCTTTCTGCCTGTCCTGACTCCCAATCCCTTTCCAGGTTGTTAGGGTTGATAAGAGCCAGGCTTTGCTTCCTGAAGCAGAACCTGCCATAGCCAAACATACCTCTTGCTTTACCAAATCGTGACCTGCAGACTGCCAGGTCTGGCCAAGATCACCTTGGGTGACTGAGAAAGCTCTGGAGCTGCAGGATCTGCAACCTGGTCTAGGGAAGGTGTCCCTGCCCATGGCAGGGAAATTGGAACTAGATGAACTTTAAAGCCCCTTCCAACCCAAACCATTCCATGATTGATCTGTTCCTGGATGCCTGATACTACACGGGCATGGCCCTAAAGAGCTGGAGACTCACTTCTATCTACCTTTGAGTCACAGGACACAGGAAAAGTATCAGGAGCGGTGAACCGGGTCAGGTCTGTGTTAATGCTAACTCAGCGAGGGCAAAGGCAGGGCTGCTTCTTGCAGCATCAGCACCAGGTTTTGCCAAGCCCCTGGGCTCTATGGGGTGGGCAGGAGCACCCCAGGTCCTTGCTGTGCTTTTAAACCAGTGACACCAGCCAGCAAAAGCACTGGGGCAGCGTGGCACAGCGCGCCTCTGGTGGAGGGCCCTTTGTGGTCCCAGAGCTGCCAGCTTCTAGCCCAGCAGAAGAGAAAGGGTCACGGTATCATTTCCAGCCTGGCTCCCAGCCTTCCTCTGCTGATAAATTGCCTTTAAGCCTTATCTGCAAATCTATTTCTTGGCCAAAGTGTCTGTCTCCAGTCACAGATGGAGCCTTTCGGCTGCATTCTGGGCCTGTCTTACATTACCTGTGATGAGTGCAGCAGGTTGCCCGGGGCAGGAGGTGCAAAGGGAAGAGCTGAGTGTGTGTAACCTGGAAACGTGCAAATATCTTACGTTTTTTGGCAGGATTTCCCTAGAGATAATGACGTTACAGCCCAGGTGTGAGGACGTAGAGACGGCGGAGGGGGTAGCTTTAACTGTCACAGGTGTGGCACAGGTACAGTAACTCCAAAACATCATTTCAGGAATGCATGTCTCTAACTTACATCTCGTTTTCCCCCTTAAGAGGTGACTGTTGGCCAGGAACAGAAGCCAACTGCTCTGAGATTCTTGTATAAACCCACATTGTCCTTGTTGGTTGAAACATGTCCCATGTTGTGAAGGAGGCTGTGATCTCTCCTCCTCTCCCCAAAATCGTTCCTCTTTTTCTCATGTCTCATTTGTCCACTTGGCAAATGAGCTGTTTGTGGGTGACTTGACCTGTGTGTGAAATGCTGATGTTCTGTGGTGCCCATGGAGCTGTGTGTGACCCTGCAGGACTGAGCCACTCGCTCCTGAGATGGTATTGAGCATTATGTTGCTTTAGATTATTATTATTAGATGTGGACCTTGTAATTCTTCACGGTGAGTTAAAGCTTAAAAATAAGCTTAATCCCTCCAGGCACTAAAATTTGTGTGTAAAATTTATGGCTTGAGTTGAATTTTGATTCTTTTAAGCATTCTTCCTATGTGAAAACCAGCTCTTGCTTGTGATAGCACACAAACACCTGAGTTTCTTAGACTCTGAGCTCTGCTGTCCTGATACAGGGTCTGTCCTTGTGACCAGGTCCTGCCTTGGGGAGGATGCTGGCAGGAAAATGTTGTTAGCTTTTGACAGAACCTGACTCCCCAGTTAGGCAGCTGAATGCATGGGTTGAGAATTGCTCCTGACAGCCCATTCTGGTATAGAAACCCAAGAGAGTGGTTCTCAGTGCACACAAGGCTGTGGTAACCATGTGTCCGAGGCATGTCCAGGTCTGTTGTCGCACAAGAGGTGCCGTCCACATACCCTGAGGAGAGCAGCGGAGCTGCTGAGTGATGCAGTGATGTGACCAAAGTCCCACGTGCATCTAAAACCCCCCCAAGGAAGAGCACTGTGGCTGCTGCAGCCTTTTTAAGACCAAGCACTTGACAAATTCCACCCAGTGCTTTCCAGAGCAGCGGATTCCAGCCCAGGTTCATTGGTTTGCTCTGACCTGACGTTGCAGAGGGGCTGTGTCTGTGTAGGGAGGATTCTCACACACAGCATGGCCTTGACTCAACAGTGGATTACCCATCACCCTGCTGCTGCTGGGGAGCAGAGCTATGTGCACAGGAGCCAGCATCTTGGCCTCATCCTGGCTCCAATGGTGTGAACCAGCATCCTTGTTTTCAGTTCTTAAATCCTTATATCTATCCCATATCCATATTTATATCACATAACCACAGCAGCCTTTGCATGGTTGGCAAAATGCCTGCACCCATGTCCCCCCTCACACGCATTTCACAAACGTGTAGGCTTTTCCTTCTCTATTTGGAAAAGGTATTTCTGTGAAGCCAACATCTCTTTTTGACCCAGTTTTGGGACATCCTTCCATTGCCTCCAGAATGGTCTAGGCTGGTGCATAGCAGCAGAAGGCTGCCTCACCGGGTGCCTTGATTTAAAACTGTGGCTCCCAATCCATCTCATTGATGTTATTCTCTCTTCTCACTGTTCATTTCTTTCACTCTCAATTATTTTTAAAGGTTTAGGCTTGTGAGCTGCAAGGATTTGCCCTGCAGAAAGCAGGTCTGAGGCAGTTGGGGGTGTGCGTGGCAGAGGTTACCTTGATTCTGCAGAACTACTTTTGAAGCAAACCTTTTTCTTTTAATGACTGGTGCAAGGAAGGAAAAAAGCCAACAAATGATTCCTAGAGACCTTTAACACCTTTTAAAATGGTTGCTGTGTTAATAAAGGGCTTCATGTGCGTAAGGATGATGTCCTTGTCTTGGTGTAATGGGACACGCCAGTAGCTTCCTTCCTGTGTTGGCTGTTGGTGTTCAGTGCTTGGGGTGCTGCTGCCTTAAAGCCACGTTGGGCTTCATATCCCTCCATCCCGTTCTTGAGCCTCAAACCAATTGGATTGTCCCTGCTCAGCCCTCGCTGGGGGTGCAGCGGTATTGATCCACATGGGATTGCTTTATGGAAGCTCTTTGATTTCCTGCCATCTCCACTCTCTCTCTGATATGACTGACATTTGAAGCAGCCCCGAGTGTTGCAGTGCCCTGTCTGAAACAGGCAACAAGCTGAGCACAAATTGCTCAACTCCAGCTTGTTTTGTGCAACCTTTGGCTTTGTAGGTTGACATCCATCTTCAGCCCAGCTCCTTCAGGCTGCCCAGGGTTTACTGGTGCAGGCTTTATTCAGAGCCTGAATCGTTCGTGCTCCCATTAAGTACCACAGGGACTCCCTTAAACCAACACTCTGCTCCATGCTCTGTCCTCTCCGTAGCTCCCAAAGGATGGGGATTGTTCAGAGTGGTGGAATTGCTGGCAGATGCACACTATAAACCTTACTGCTGAGTCTAATTGGGTTTGGTATTGCAAAAACCTCCTGTTTGCTGCAAGATGAGCCTTGTGCAGGGCCCACACTGTGGGTGCAGCTCCATGAGCAGCTCTCCCAACTCCCCCTTGTGTGAGAAGTGCACGCTGCTGGCCCTGGGGTGCAGGGACAAGAAACCACCATGGCCTGGCCCTGTGGTTCTCCCCAGAGCTCTTGGGGACAAAGCAGAAGAGGATTGCCGTGCTTGCCTAAGATTCAGCTTGGCATTTGACTGGGAGACCCAGCCTAGGAAGCAAAGGCAGGAAGGAGGCTCAGCCCAGGGTCATCTGCATCTTGGTCAGCTTGACATGTCTAACACAGTCCACCTCCAGTCCCCTCAGAAGGTGGTGGCTGGTCTCAGCTATCCTGTTCTCTGGCAGTGCTGCTGTTTGGCTCCAGAGGTTAGGCTGGGGATCATTTTGGACTCAAAAGCTAACAGATCAGGCTTTCTGTTGCTTCTGCCAGTAGTTTGACCCAGAAAAGCTGTCTCACAGGCATCAGGATGAGGTCTATAGGCTGTGGACCCATCAGGAGCGTGCATTGGGACCCTCAGAGGGCAGCGCCTGAAGCTTTGGAGGTCTCTGAGCCAGGACCCCTGGGGCAGGACACAGAGTGCCACCAGCACCTCATGGGACAGGAGGCCCTGCCTAGCCCAGACGTCTCCATCAGAGGGTGCTGTGGGACCTGCTCAGCACCCAGAGGTCCCAGCAGAGCTGCGTGGCTGGTATGGTGCTGCCAGACACAGAGACGTCCTTGTGTCCATACTGGACCTGGTCACCAGGAGCTGCCACTGGATGGATTGTATCTCCTCGTAGCTGGGTCCTGTAGAGCTCCATGAGCACACACCTCATTTTTAACCCACTTTGCCTTTCCAAAGCAGCCCCATGACCAGCAGGACCATCTTGAGACCCTGGACTTGGGGATGCTTTTATGTCTGGCTTTGACTGTGGGAGGTGAAAGCAGTGCACTACGGCCATCTCATCTCATCTCTCCTTACAGGGAACACCGAATGGAGCCCCTGTTCCCAAGCTGCTCCTTGGGCATGTCAGATTCTTCCTTGTTCCCTGGTTTTCCTGTGTCAGAAAAGTTAATTCTAGTGAAGGAGGAGGAAGAGAAAGGTAACAGAATGGCTTTTGGTCAGGGGTAGTACTAGAAAGCCCTCTCCTTCTAGGTCTGGTATTGGTGCAGTAGTTCAGGGCTCTTTGGTAGGGTTTTCATCAGGTGGGACCTGCCCCCACATCACCCCATGGCTGCTGTGGGGCAGATGGGCTGCAGGGAGCACCTCTCCACACTGAGCTGCAGTGGGGTTTGCAGAGGTGTCTGCCCCATGCATGTGCCTGCAGCAGGGCTGTCCCCAGCAGCAGTGGCTGGTCTGGTGGCCTGGCTGAGTGTGGTGACAGCTCAGCATGGTCCCTTGGAACATCAGTAGCATGGGGGCAGCCTGGTGGTGGTACTGCTGCTTCTGCTGCTGCTGCTGCTGTTGGGTGCCTGTCCCTCTTTGGATAGGAGCCTTCAGTCCCTTTGGTTTTGTCTCCTGTCTCTAGGTGAAGATCATGACGGAGAAGGAGCTCCTGGCTGTGGCCTGCGAGCAGTTCTTGGGGAAGAACGTGCAGGATGTGAAGAACGTGGTCCTTCAGACGCTGGAGGGACACTTGCGCTCCATCCTAGGTGTGAGGGGGCTCATGCTGATGAAGGCATCTTGAGTAGCTTTCTCCCTTCTCTGCTGGCTGGTCCCAGCAGTGTTGCTGCCACCACAGCACCCACAACGGGTGCCTCCTCTGCTGACTGCAGAGGTGACATCTTAGGTGGTTCCACCCCTCCAGCAGCTCCTGGGTGTTGTGATAAATGAGTTTTCAGTGCCTGCACTCGGAGATGTCCGAGTCCCCATGGGTTACAGGTGGCACATGTGTGTGGTAGTTGTGGTGTGACACTGAGATGTTGGTGCACGCCCTTGTGCCCAGACCTGAGGAGATTAGGGACAACAAGGGTCTTGCTGAGCTCAGACCTGTACCATTGTGTGTTACCTGTTCCACATAAAGCACTTCACCTTCCTCCCCTCTGCAGGTACCCTGACAGTGGAGCAGATCTACCAGGACAGGGATCAGTTTGCCAAGCTGGTGCGGGAGGTGGCAGCTCCCGACGTGGGTCGCATGGGGATCGAGATCCTGAGCTTCACCATCAAGGTATGCTCAGAAGGAGGGTGCTGTGCTGTGGGGCACCCAGCAGAGCTGTAGGAGCAGCACAGCAGAGCCTGGCCCTGGCTCCTCTGCTGCAATGAGGTGACAGACTCCAGCTCGCAGCCTGCTTCAGCCCTCCGGGTGTTTCCATGACAGCCGCTGCTGCACGTCCTGTATCCAGGCAGATGGCAAAGAGCACCCAGTTAAATTAGCTGCCTCTGTAAACACAGCTTGAGGAGAGAGCTCACTGATAACCGAGCTGCCAGGGAGACAGAGGGAAGATGTCAGGAGAGCCCAGCTCCCCCTGTCACCCCTGTTTGATTTGGCAGCAGCCTGACATGGCTCATTCTGACCCTGGCCTAACCACACAAGTGGTTGCTCTGAGCTTCAACGGGAAGGGAGCAAGATGGAATCACTCGTTTGAAGTGGTTGTGGCTTGTCTCCCTCTCTCCAGGATGTCTATGATAAAGTGGATTACCTGAGCTCCCTGGGGAAGACTCAGACTGCGGCTGTCCGGAGGGATGCAGACATCGGGGTGGCAGAAGCTGAGCGAGATGCTGGCATTCGGGTGAGTGCAGAGCCGTGCTGGGCTTTCCCAGAGCAGCCTCTTTTGTTCCAGCTGCAGCTCTGCTTTCTGTTTTCTCTCTGTAGGAGGCACAGTGCAAGAAGGAAATGCTGGATGTCAAGTTCATGGCAGATACCAAAATAGCAGAGTCCAGACGGGCTTTTGAATTGCAGAAAGCTGCCTTCAGTGAGGAGGTCAACATTAAGGTGAGAGGTGTCTGACAGCACACTGTTGTTCCCTGCCTGGTTCCTGATGGTATTGGTAGCTCTGGGACTTGTCAGCTTCCTCCTCCTGCATGTGTTAGGAGAGCTGGAGGTGGAGAACACAGAAACACGGAAACCTGGCTTCTGTTTGCAACAGTTAGGTGGGACTAGGAGGAGAGGAAACGATGGGGAGGGTCATCCAAGCTGAACCTGGAGCTGGTGGGGCTCAAATGCTATGGGAAGAGCACACAGGGAAGGACAGCAAGTGCAGCTCTGAGGATCGGGATCTCACCTCCGACTTGAGGCTTAGGAGAAGGAGCCATATCTGCTTTCACTGCCTGCCAGGAGCCCTTATGTCTGCGCACAGGAGACAATGGCCAAGACCCTTCTTCTCATGTCTCCTGTGTGCAGACTGCGGAGGCCCAGCTGGCCTACGAGCTCCAGAGCGCCCGGGAGCAGCAGAAGATCCGCCAGGAAGAAATTGAAATCGAGGTGGTGCAGCGCAAGAAGCAGATTGAGGTGGAAGAGAAGGAGATTATCCGCATGGAGAAGGAGCTGATGGCCACCGTGAAGCAGCCGGCCGAGGCCGAAGCCTACCGCATCCAGCAGATCGCCGAGGGCGAGAAGTGAGTGGGCCCTGAGCACGTGGCTGCAGGAGGGATGGAGGGAAGCAGCGCAGGGAACTGGGCTGCTGGAGGGCTGCGTTTCCCTTTCCAGGGTGAAGCAAGTCCTCCTCGCTCAGGCGGAAGCGGAGAAGATCCGCAGGATCGGGGAAGCGGAGGCCTTTGTGATCGAGGCCATCGGGATGGCGGAGGCTGAGCGGATGAAGCTGAAAGCCGAAGCGCTCCAGCAGTATGGAGAAGCTGCCCAGCTGGCTCTAGTGCTGGATGCGCTGCCTGAGGTGAGGAGGGAGCAGCATTCCCTTGCTCCGGGCAGGTCCCAGGCCGGGCCAGGTCTCCTGTGGTGTGTAGGGACCTTACCCAGCAGGCTGGTGAGCAGCTCCTTCACTGTGCTTATCCCACCCTCCTTCCCTGCTTCCCCAGATCGCTGCCAAAGTGGCTGCTCCCCTCTCCAAAGTGGATGAAATCGTTATCCTCAGCGGAGAGAACACCACCACGATGTCGGAGGTGAACCGTCTGCTGGCTGAGATCCCTGCCTCCGTGCGTGCCATCACCGGTGTGGATCTCACCAAGGTGAGCCATGCACCAGCACCTGCAATTCCTGCAGCTCTTAGGGCATAGGGAATTGCCTGAAAGCTTCCAGACTCACAGGGAGCCTTTCCTTGCCCAACCACAGGGTGCAGGCAGCTCCCTGCCTCTCCCTTCTCCAGCCCTAACCGCTTCTTTTCCCCTCCTGCAGATTCCCCTGATCCAGAAAGCCACCGGAGCCCAGGCATGAGGCTGGCCAAGCCAAAGCTAGTGAAGATCACTCCCTGTTAATGCACTCAGACATCAACTGCCTTCAACACGTGGGAATTCCTTTTATATCAAAGACAATCAGAGTTTCATTTTGAAGCTCTGGTGCCTTATTTTGTAGGGCCAGAAGGTTGCATGTCCGATCAGCTGCTCTTTTTATTACAAAGGGAGGGAGGGAGGGGGAATTTATTTTGTTATTAACTGGATTGTCCCAGGCTGGGGTTTGGATCCAACCCCCAGCTACGACTGGCAGCTTGTCTGGTGTTGCAATCCCAGTGCCTTGCTGTTCTCTGTCCTTGGAGCAGAGGCTCTGTGGGACGTGGAGCTGGAGGAAGAGAACAGCCAGGACCCATCTCCTCTTGGCTGTCTGTCCTCCTCCTGGGCACTGCCCAATATCTGCCTCTGCCCATAGCCTGTTCCTGTGGCTTTCCCACTTGGAGTGTCTCGGGATCTCTGCAGTCCTGCCCAGGCTTAGCTTCCCAGAGGTGTCAATGGTCATGGTACCCACTCCCATGCTGCCTTCCCTCAGGGACGTTTCCTCCCGGGATCTGGAGGGGGAAGAGCCCCACTCAGCCCTGGTCTGAGCCAGGCTTGGCAAGGTCCTGCACCCAGGAAAGCCCAAAGGGAGCACCTGACACCGCATCCTTCGAGAGGGAGGTCAAACAACTGTGGTGGCTGTGCCCGAGTGCCCCACGTCTTGACCCCCTCAGCTCCTGGTTCCATGGGTCAGAGAGAGGTTGGGGACCAGGCAGGCGCTGCGGTGGGGACAGGGACCAGCACCCAGGGCTGGTGCTGTGGCTCTCAGTGCAGGCAGTGCAGAAGCCCCTACCTCGCTCTGTCCCCTTGCCTCTTATGGCCAGTGGCTTTGCTGCCCTGAGTGACAATGTGAAAGAGGTTGTCCCCTGTGTGTGTCCCATACAGGGCCCTGTGCTGGCCCGTGCCCCTTCCATGCCTGTGCTCAGTGTGGCTGTTACCAAACCCGTGTGTGAAGCCAACTATGGGGTGCTGGGTCCCTCACATTGCCATAGGGCAGGCGCAGGGATTCTGGTCCCCTCCACCTCCTGTCATTGCCCCTTTCTGGCCATTCTCTTTGCCAGGAGTGACTCATGGTCACAGATGGGTGCTGTGGGGCCGGTGGCACCCTGTCCCCTTCCCTGCCGTCGGGGTGGGAGGGATGGTGTTATCAGCCCCTGGCGTGTGGTGGTGCCGGCGGGTGTGCCGGGCGTTGTGCCCTATCTGCCTGCGCTGTGCATGGCTGTGTCCCTGCCACCCTCCCTGCCGGACGATAATAAAGCCTTGTCACCGTGTCCCTTGGCTCTGTCTTGTGCCTCCCGCACCCATCTCCCCTCGCACCATGGC